TCCCCCTCCCCCGCGGCCCTCCGCGCCGCCATCGCCATGTTCTTCGTCTTCTCGCTCTTCTTCACCGCCCTCGGCCTCATCTCGTGGCTTTACCCCGCTGAGATCTTCCCCACGGCGATCCGTGCCCGCGGCTCGTCCCTCGCGACCGCCACAAACTGGAGCCTCAATCTCGTTTTTGCGCAGTGCTCGCCTATTGCTCTGACCACCCTCCAGTACAAGTACTTTTACTGCTTTGTTGCGTTCAACTGGGCCGCTGCGGTGATCGTCTGGGCGTTTTATCCGGAGACCGGCGGCAAGTCCCTTGAGGAGGTGGCAGAGGTGTTCACTACCCGGGCCCAGCAGCGTCGCAGGGGCCAGTCGTATGGATCGGACTCGACGGGTGCGGACGTGACGGAGTCGCGGGATGTCAAGTCGGGTGTTACGTTGCATGTTGCACAAAAGTGAGGATGTACGGGTCCGGATCAAAATATTCAAGTATTTGAAGATGAATTTAAAATCGCAGAGAGAGTATATAGAATATTTAGACTCAATAACCAAGTTGACGCCGTAGCCACCATGCCTATCATTGGATACACCAGACCCGTATCCTTTCCGTACAAACCATGAATGAGAATTATATATAACGCACGTCCAGAACTTGGGACGTAGACGATGATTCACCCCCTCAACGCAGGCATAACATAACTCGTAAGCGGCGCACTGAGGATCTCCTGTCGTAGCGCCCCCTCCCACACGGCAACCGAGCCCTCCCACACCTGGAGCGTCAAGCAACCCAGCAGGAAATCATTGACGCGCATCCACGTCTCGTAGCCCAGCCGCTTGGCGACCTTGAGCATCCGTCCTGCGAACCAAGGCCGGCCGTACGGCGTTCGAGCAGTGGGCGAGTACTGCGTGAAATCAGGCGAGGCGAGCTCATCCAGCACGAATACAGAAGGGAGGTCCGGGCTGTTGCTGGTGCTGGTGCTGGCCGTTCCGTCGTTGCACTCTAGCATGATCTGCAGCAGCGCCTCGACAGAGCCGCTCATGTTGACTTCGCTTTCGAGCACGGCCTGCTCCAGCGTGCGCAGGAAGGTCTCGCTGTGAGCGATGGACGAGCGATAGTCCCACAGACCGGCGTTGAACATGATCAGCGCGACGAGTCGGGCGACGAATTGTTTGCGGTTGCCCGAGGCGGTGAATCGGACGCCCGGCGGGGCGGCCAGAATCTGGTATAAAAGGGAGGTAGGCTGGAAGGCAGTGTGGCGCATGGATGCGATGGCGGGGTTGGTGTGGGTTTGCTGGTGGAGGGCGAGTTGCTCGCAGCGTTTGAGGAACTCGATGAATTCGTTGCATTGGTGTTGGAGTTCATCCCTGGGGAAGAAGGGAGGGGCCGTAGAAGGTACGCCCTCAAAGTCGGTGGAAAGACCTGAGACAGATGAGGAAGTTGGGAGCGAAGGTTCCGTCGGGGTTGAAGTCATAGGGGTAATATTAGGCTGGGAAGGAATCACTGGTGGATTGGGCTCGAAGAAAAAGCTCGGCCCATGAGTTTCATAGCCTGACAGAATATAGTCCTGCCAGTTGATCAACATCCCCAGCCGGGTATTCTCGAACGCCGCAGGCCCACCGCGCGCTCGAATCATCTCCCGAGCAGCTCGCATGTGGATCCAGCTGATCTGCTTGCGTCCGGGGCGGGGGTCAAAGTCCTCCAGACCGGCAGCACTGAGGCATGCAATGATGGCCACGTCGCTAATGTCCCCGGGGTTTTCAGCCAGATGCTCTCGGAGCATGGAGATGGCCCGGTTACGATGAACCAGACTCATCTTGGTTTCCTCCTCGTTGCGGACCCAGGCCCATGTGTTGGCCGCGTGGACGAGGATCGTGTTCTGGAAGGCGACAGGGCCTTTCATGCCCTCCGGAACAAATACCGCCGTGTACCAATTGTGAGCCTTGGGGGACCGGAAGTGATTGCCGTAAGAGCAAGCCGGCATCTCGTTGACGTAAAAGTCAAAAAGCTTGTGACCCTCTGCATCCAAATCCATAGGCAAGCTGTTGAAAGGGTCAGTCCGCGCTGCGCTGAGGATAGATTTGGGGGAGAGCGTTAGCTCGTAGGGAGTTGTCGGGGCGGAGGACCACGGTGTCTGGCCGTCGGATTCGGAGTTGCTGCTCTGGTCACCAGATGCATAGGAACTGGGTAAGTCGGAGGGTGAAGGAAAGGGTCGAAGTTGAAGAACAGCGTCCTGTGGTGAAACAGAGACGAGAGTATCCGCGCTAGTCTGGCCTGCAGCTGCTGAGACATGACTTTCTTCAATCCCTGCCGATGAACCCTCCTCTAAGGAATTCTCGCCCATGGATTCCACCCCCGTTTGCGTATCTGTCGAAGCGTCCGGGCTCTTTTTCCTCCTGCCCGTGCTACGCTTCTTCATCTCCTCAATGGTACTCTTTCCCGCATTCTTGTTCCTCGGTCGCCTGCGAACCTTTGGCTGTGATTCCTCTTTTTCCTTCACACATCCGCCATTGTCATCGTCTGGTTGCGCTACGCCACCGCGTTTTTGCCGCATGTATTCTTGCATCACATGGCGCTTGACTCGGGTGAGATTGCTTCGGCTGTTGCTTGAAGCATCGATGAATTGCCACCGCATCTGCGAGGATTGCGCCGGTGGCTCATTCGAGGCTGTCTCTTCCGAAACATCGGACATAGTCTGTTAGAGATTGATTTCGGCGTGGTTACGGGGTAGAACTCGTGGGGTTGAAGATTGACCTAGATGGCCCTGATTCGATGATAATGCAAATGACGACGGCACATCATCAAGTGAACACTCCTGCGCTCGTCCGATTATGGAATCTTCCCAAGCAGAACGTGAAAGAATTACCCACGTCCCTGGAAACCGGATCGAATGTTATCGCGCTGAGACAATCAACCGACCTAGCAAGGTCCCTGCAGCTGAACGATTCGGCAGCTCGGCCGATCCCAGTATATGCGGGGTTGAGTGCTGAAAACGAGCGTAGGTGAGATAAGATGACACAGCGTAGATCTTCTTCAGTTATACAACAATTGAGCCGGTTTAATGGTCGAGAGTCTTCATTGCCGATCTTTGAGGTGGACAGTCGATCATAAGGCGGGGGCTGATGGCCGGGATCGGTTGCTGGAGACTCCGACAGATGATGAAGAATGTCTCCAAACTCCAAAGAACTAGGAATTAGCTGAGTAATCACTGGCCAAAATGAAAGGCCAAAATGAAGGGCTCTTGGGAATTCAGAAGAACAGCGAAGTCTGGGGTGGAATTCATGCAAATATTAGAAGCGTACTTGGCAATAGAAAAGCGACAAGTACGCGATGAGAGAGCATGAAGACAGTGACGAAGATTATTGACTTTGCGGTCGTTTGGTTCGACTCCAAACCAACGCCTCAATCTTGGGACTATTCCCCACAGTTACGGAGTAGTCGATTGAAATCTCAAATCATTGGATCGCGGAACCGACGAACAATGGTTAGACAGTCCAGGTAGTTATTGATCGGCCGGTCCAGTCTTCAGCTCGGAGTTATCACCCAGCCCAGTGGCCCAGTATTTGAGGGGATTTAAGGTGGGGATGGACCAGCAGATTGAGAGAGACTCGAGAGAAGAGAGAAGAGAGAAGACTACGGAGGAGATAGAGAAGATAGAGAAGAGACGAATCCTCAGGGCTGGAAGTCGACTGTCTCTGATGATCTCCACTCGTCATTCCTCAGCCGTGCAGAATTAGCTAGAGTTCTAGTGTTATGCTGCTGCGAACTCGCCCAATCGGTGGCATAGCATCTCCCGTGTGGTTTCATCTTAACGAAGTAGTCTGCCTCTCTTGGGTTCGAGACCCTGGGAAGAGGTAGACTAGGACTCTGCAAGTGATACCGACCTGAAGATCTGAAGTTCATCCTTCTCAGCTCGCCTCACTCGGCCTGACATTCGTATGTTTGATCAAGGATTCTAAATTGGCATTGAATTGTGTGGCCGTGCTGGGTATACAAAGTGCAGCCATAATTGCCATACCTAGTAGATTACTCCGTATCTTGACCTTAAAGACACCGTCTGGACATAATTTTGAATGGGACATTGGCTGGTATACTCAGACTGAACTGCTCTCCCACTGGTAGGCAGCAGAAGGTGTTAATAATAATACTGCGAAGTGATCACATTCCTTGGGATGCGTAGATAGTCACGTGATTATGGAGCTCCAATGGAAGAATGTCACATGACAGCGGAATCATGTCGGAGTTAACCTCACCGCCTTCAGCAAAGTCCGGCCGCAGACTGTCAAATCCTTGAATGCATTCTTGCTCTCCGCGTCGCCGGTCGCGCAGTTGATGGCATGCGATTTCAGCACCCCTAAGGTTTTTGGGAGATTCTGCTAATACAAGTGAATGAATTATGATTTTCAAACTGCTTTAAACTACCTTCAGCCGCGTCACAGTAAGATTTGCGGTCGTTCCAGTGTCGTGGGATTCAACCGGTCCGCATTCATTCCGAAGCTGGTCGCTGTCCTTGTTCGGTAAAACGACCGTTCTGAAAGCTCTACTCACACCATCCCTTCGACGTCCGAGTGCGCTACTGTAGCACCTTTGGGTCGTGCTATTCTCCTACACGTTTACCGACGGAAGTGACTCATCAGGATGCTATCACCTTCACAGGCGAGTTCGATGTTTACCACCTAGCTTTCAGCAGCAAACTTTCTCTGTGGGACAAATTTGGCGTGAGGATTCGTCGCACCGATTTTTATACATGATTCAGACTCCTTTCAGACACTTTCGCCCTCATTTTACTCGACACCTCTTCTTTTCGGCCGTGTCCGGAGATCTCACATTGCAATGGCCGGAGACGCGATTGCGCCTGCAGAGCCCAGCCAGGTCAACGGCTCAACGAGTTGCGACCGATCCACCACAGATCCTTACGAGACAAACCCAGAATTGATTCCGCCGACAGATTCGTTCCTTTCTCGAAGCCCGCAATACGGCCGCTATGCCCCGCATGTCGATGACTTCAAACCCCGCTACGATGCTTGGTACCAGTCGGGTCCGGAAGTTAGTTCGTACTGGGAGGAGGTAGTGCGAACATCCTGCACCCCAGAAAATTCCCTAAATGTGCCTGGGACAAGGGAGGTATACGCTGCTGGCAGCGTTCTGATCAAAGTTGACCAGGAACCTGCGGCCGGTGCGGCTGCGGAACGATACTCTAACGTCAATTCGAACGAGTTGAGTGCTGCTAAAAGGGCGGAGGATGCTCTTCAAGAACTCGATGTTGCTGTACCGATCATATACTTTTGTGGCACAGTTGACGGGAGGAATGTCACCGTGGAGTCTAGAATTCCTGGTGTGTCCTTGGAGGTTGCCTGGAAGTATCTCACAATCGAACAAATTGGCGCTCTTAAACAACAATGCCGTCGAATTATTCAGCGCCTTGCAATCGTTGAGCCTGTGCCGGACTCTGCGTCGTACATCTGCGATGAACTCAACGCTCAATTACCACCGGGCGTCGAGGGTTCCGAAAGGGACATATTGTTTCAAGATAGAAAGGGGACGGAGAAGCTCTATCTAGTTCACAACGACATGGTCCGATCGAATATTGTGGTCAAGGATGGCCGGGTCGTTGGGATTCTCGGCTGGCGACAATGTGGGTTCTTTGGCTTTGAGAGAGCAAAGCAGGTACATCGCCAGTTTCGGATACCTGAGCGACCCATCATTGGGAATGGCGGGGTCAACGTGACTCAGGTCTGGGCCGACCTCTATGACGATATACCTGACGTTAGTAGGATAGACGGGCTCCCAGATCATCATACTGCAGCTGGACCTGAGGTGAAAATTGAGCCTCTGCAGACGTCGTTGGACAGGTATCCCCCAAGCAACGAAACCGAGAGCCTGCCCGCTCTGGCACAACTAGACGGCACCCTTTTGCCCGAAGAGCATCCAACGCCGAAGAAAGTCGCTGATCTTAAGAGCGAGTTTGCCTCAAGAGCATCATCGACAGATCGTTCATCGCCATCTGGTTCCACCAAAGCAGCCTTGAGAAGAAAGTCGGCTCCTGGTGCATCGAAGAAAGGGACAGCCAAGAAACAAACGACGAAGAAACGCAAAATAGACGAACTTGCGAGCGAAGATGTGGAAAGCCGTCGGTCGAACACCCCTTCTTCGACTCGTGCCAGCAAAACGCCCGGAATCAAGAAGCAGGGATCCGCATCTGTCACGGGCTCTCCGGCTCCCGAGGGTAAGAAAAAGAAGAAAAACGCCAAGAATGTTATCATAGCGAAACGGGAAGAGGAGGAGGAAGAACAAGAGGAAGATTCGGAGGATGACGGGGTTTTCTGCATCTGTCGCAAGGGTGATGACCATACTTGGATGATTGCATGCGACGGGGGATGCGATGATTGGTTTCATGGAAAATGTATCAACATCGATCCCGAAGACGCGGACTTAATAGACAAATACATCTGTGAGTCTCGGCTTAGGCAGCTTTGTACTCTGAAGTGAGCTAATGCACATCAGGCCCGAATTGCAAGGCGGAGGGCAAAGGATGGACGACGTGGAAACCGATGTGTCGACTAAAGAGTTGTCGGAAACCGGCTCGTGTGACAGGAAAGAACCCAAGCAAGTATTGCTCTGACGAGCATGGGCGGGAGTTCATGCGTCAACGGATCCAGCAACTCAACAAAACCCCCGAGGATCCTGCCAAGAAAGAATGGGAGGAGCTTGGCAGCAGAGGAGGTGTGCTGACAACTGGTGATCTTCACGCAGTAATCATGGCTGTCTCCTCTGCCGAGGAGTTCCGAAAACTTGGAGAGCGCATTATATCGCCGCCGCCAGACGCGGAGGATCCTAAAACCGGAGCAAGGTCTCCGAGCAGCAAGAAGCTTGGCTTGGACGTGGACCCCGAGGGCCTAACCTATTCTCACGACGAGGCATCAAAGCTTGAGCAATTGCGCAAACAAAGAGATGAACTTCTCCACCGCCGCGAGATGCTCAACACTCGTTCCACGTTCTTGACACTCATTCGTCAGAGATCAAAGAGCATTGTCGAAAAGCTGAAGCAAACGGATCCAAAAGGGGGATGGAAGGATATCTGTGGGTTCGACACACGCCTCGCGTGGTCAGACGAAGAATTCGATGATTGGAGGCTGTCCAATCTCGGAGCCAAGGCACTCGAGGACGGCACCCCTGAAGCACTTGCTTCGAGCTATCCGGACGCTGTTGATGCGGATGGCGACACGGCCATGAATGACACCAAGACGGAGGAGGAGGACGAGCTGGCAAAGTTGTCACGTGGAGTGTGTACGAAGAAGCGTTGCGAGAGACATAAGCAATGGATCAAGGTCCACCAGTCCGAACTTCTATTCGAGGAGAACACGCTGAAGCAGGACCTTGCCACCTGCGAGAAAGAAGCCCAGAATGTGGTTGAAAGGGCCGTTCTCCGAATGTGGGCTGAAAAGGACAATGCTCAGAATGGCGGCGAGTGAGTTGTTTTCTCGCCGCACCCTGTCTGAAGAGAGGGCAGGATGATTGTTACAGAATTCGCATACCCGCTACGAGCGAGTCGCTTGATTGATAGATACCCTTTCGCGCGAGAAGCTGGGACGGAATATGGAGTTGGTCCGTTTATCTGGAAATCCAGGCTACAAGTGGCCCATGAAAAAGGAACCCTGCATATTGTTGGCGTATGGAAACGGTACATCATAATTTCACGCCGGGGAAAAGCGTATGAATTGCATCTTGATAATATCGTGTACGATAGAGCGGAATCAACGCAAGACCGAGTGTATGGCAAGCCGGCTTCACCTTGTAGATCAGACACTCGCAATAGTATCATACATTCACGGGTTTTTGTCCCAAATGCACCATTTCCCCACCCCCTCTCCTACTCGATCTTTGATGACCTCCACAACGTGATCCGACCCCACCGTCGAAAGCAGAAGATGCGTATCAATACCTTGATCCAACGTCCTCATCAACAAACTCGGAAGCAGCGATGTCTCCGCCGCATGAAACATAGAGTAGACGCCCTCGTCATCCATAGACGCTCGAAAGTCCCCTCGCGACGCATGCTGCCTTCCCGCCCCAGCGCCAGCCCCAGCGCCAGCCCCAGCGCCAGGGCCAGGGCCCAAGCCGGGCGCGGATCCAAGCCCACCCGTATTAACCAGCATCACAGCAAGATACGAGCCATGCACCCTTGAAAGCTGCGTCAGCGTTCGCAGCGCGGCGGTCAGCGCCGCCGCGCCCTTCACCGGGTTCGAGGCGCGGATGACGCCCTCGGTGAGCGTGTCGAGGCCTGCGAGGAGGAGTAGGGTGCGCGTGCGCGCGCGCTCCCCTGACTCCCCGCCAGACACCAGAGCTGATTGCAGGGCGTCCGAGACCTGGCTGATGGCTTGCACTGCGGCGCGGAAGTCGAAGACGGGGAGGAGCTGGACATGGTCTAGCAGGGCTATTGCTTCGATGCGGGAGAGGGGCGGCGTTGAAGGAGAAGCGAGGAGAGAAGCTAGGAGTTGTTTTGGAGAGAATGGGTCGAGCGTTGGTGGATGGATTATGAAGGCTTTTGGTTGGGTGGAGGGTGATTGTGATGGGGGTGTGTTGCGTAGATGCTTGGCGAGGAGGTATCGGGGGAGCTTTGGGGGGGTTAGCTGGGTGTTTGAATGTAGATATGCTTTCAGGATGATGCGCCTGAGATGACTCCCAGGGTTGCGTGTATACAGGTATATGTGCCCGATACAATCTGCAGGCACATTGGAAGAGATACCATCTTACCTGGCCGATAGAATCATGGTCATCGTCTTCTCGAGCTCTCTTCTTCAGTTTCGAAAACCCGATTACCCTGCCACAGCGGAAAACGCTGGATGGGCCTTCGAATGCCTCTTCGATGTCCTTTCTTAGATTCCAGATGGCAGATTGATCTGGCGCATCGGGCTGCTCTGATACCATGGACGTCGTGGTATGACTGGATAGTAGTGTATGAGCCAGAATTGGAAAAGCTGGTTCAGCAGTGTAGACATTACTGGATGAAGACATTTTGACATGAATAAAGCGAGAGCGTTCGGTGCCCTGTCATTAAGTGTTGGTAGTGATAGATCGGGCGAAGGACTATGCAAAATGATATTGCACAAAGATGTCACCTGGGATAAACGAATCCATCGCCAGGTTCAAGACTCAAGCAGGGACAAGTGTGGCATGTTATTCAGGCGAGCATTTATTGACCATCTACTCCGTACACTCTGGCTTGAATGATGGGTTACGGAAGTGAGTGGGATAGAGCTCTTGATGCCTGAGGCTCCGAAATCACCTAAACATGGTGGATTTTTAGTCGTCGTCATAATTGCCATTGATATTGGAAACTATGCACTAAGATGGAGAAGCGCTACGCTTAAGAAAAAGTTCGCCTATGGACTGACCCGATCACATTTCGCTCCTCTAACCCAGTTCCCATGTCCGTCATGGGCCCATTCAGTGTCTCCCAGACCATCTGCTAATATAGCAGAAAGTTCCGGCCGAAGGGCATCAGACTCGTAGTCACATGCGCAGAAATGTACAAGACGGGCTCTGTTGCCCAAGTCCCGAACTGCATGCGCAACTAAAGTATAGCCCGTCGCAAGCTCCATCCACGGATCGCTTGGGTCCATAGATCCCCTCTGCTCCAACTCTGTGGCCTTGTCGTTCAAGCAAGGCGCCAATCGTACGCTGAGCGAGCGCAGACTCGTCATCAATGTCACCGTGTCCAGCACTAGTTTGACGTGGTTATAAAACGGAAAAACCGCAGTGTAATGGAATGCTGTCAACTTGTTGAGCGAGAGAGATAAAGAGACACTCTCTGGATGGGTCCGGGACAACGAGCCCCATCTATTAAACACAGAAGGGACCTGGAAGAGAAAATACTCATAATGGTTATATGCCTTCAAAGACGAGGACTCGTTAAACTGCAGCGATGACCACTCCCGAGCTGCTAAAAGACCCGGGCATGCCTCAACATGCGAGACCGGAGGTGGCGCTACCTGCCGTTCTCTCCTATCCAATTGCAGGACTTGCAGCGAAATCTGGAAAGCCCAGTTATGTCCATCCATAATCTCGGTTCCTAGCGTTGCTCCGATAAACGACGGCGGTGCCAGAAGAGTGATACGCATTGGATCGAGGTGCTGCAGAATCCTACGCCACCATGAGGGGTCGTCCTGAGGATCTGAACAGGTATTTCCCCGCGCCAGGAGGGACGTCACGTTTCGACACAGATCCCATTTCAGGATGAATTGTAAAAAGCTTTCTCCCTCACTGATATCAAAGCAGGCATGTGCAAACAACCGCGGCCGTGTGACCTCTAGGAAGTGAGAGGAGGTTCGCGATAGATTCTTGAGGTCGCGGGCGGCCGATTTGACTATACGAACGCCCGGGGGCTGGTCGAAACGGGAGAACGAAGGAGGATCAGTAGCAAGGTTGGACAGTATTTGATCAATTAGCTCATTCGGTAACGACTCAAATGGCGAAGTCTCTGCGGACATGGTAGTAACGGTTGATGCTCCGGGCTGCTAGGATACTATTGAATTAGTGCTCAGTAGCCTCAATGAGCTTCACATGACGACGGATCCCGCAACTTGGTGTGAGACTGTCATATCCTCATATGTCTGGTCGGATGATGCAATTTCAGGTCGTAGCTAGATGTAGCTCGAAAGAGAGCTAGTCATCGAGAGGTATTGTCGACTGTTCTTTGTTCCTATACAAGTGTTGGAGTTGGGAGTTGTTGAACTGTTGGAGGCGGTGAGAGTCTCGGGAAGAGAAGAAGATCCAACTGCCGAAAGACCCCGCTTACTTCGTACACACAACTGCTACAACAACTGCTACATAATGTTAACAACATGATAACTCGATGTTTGCGCTTTGAAGGCAAGAAGCTGGGGGCAATAAATGAAGGCTTCATCTCTGAGTCTGTCCCACTTTCCGGTTATTATCAGAATGCAGATACGTATATCAGCATACCGACCGATACTCCTCAGCCATCGGTAAAACCCCTTTGACCGTGGCCTTGTGGAGCCTGTCTCCGCAATGCTTGAACTGATCCATTGATTCGGTGCATGCGCCATGACTTTGAATAGCAGCCATATCTTCATAGGTAGAAAGAAAGGGAGAGTAATTTACAACTGTCAACTCTCACTCGTCGACAGTAGGGGCTCTATCTCAGGGAGATTACATGGGGCCATACTTCGCTTCATATGAAAGAACTGGCGGACAACGAGAGCTTACTTACGCCCCACCGCATCAGCCTTGACCCCTTGGCCTTGAGATGTTGGGTGCATGGGCCGCCTGCATGGCGGGCAAAGATCATCTGGAGACTTCGAGTACTTCCATAGAGCCTGATTCTTTGGCTGCAATGGATTCTCACTCTGTTCAGCGACATCGGGCTCTGACTTTCAGGATGTGGAGAGACTCACAACATGTGGGGCTCAGAATTGGAGGTGGATGCCATCGGCAGACCTGAGCATGGCTGAAGAACCGGCAACTGAAAACATGGATCGTCTCTGCTTGAGCTCGCTTGCTGGGCACTGGGGGGTAATTTGCCCCTCATCTTTCTGTCGCCGGGAGCAAACGATTTGACCTCTTCCTTTTCCTTCAAACATCCTCGTGCTTGTTGCTCTCTTCGTCTCCGCTAAGCTCATAGTCCTGGTGGCGACGGCAACGCTCAGTGAGATCCTGATTTAAGCAGATTAAGTAAATCGTACACTCGCCATGGCTCAGCTTCACCGTAACCCGCCCTTCCGTGCCGAGCACCTTGGCTCTCTTCTCCGGACTCAGGAACTCCTGAACGTCAAGACAGCGTTCGAGAAGGGACAGGCTTCTGCGGCCGAACTCAAGGCTGTCGAGGACAAGGATATCAAGGATATTGTCGAGACTCAGAAGAAGCTGGGCTACCCCGCTCTTTCTGATGGAGAATACTGCAGACACAGTAAGGATTCCTGGCTTGCGGACATTTCACATGGAGATTAAGCTGATCCCACTATTTCATGCAGTGTTCTGGGGCAGTTTTTTCCCCGGTCTCGAGGGCTTCGAGGAGGTTACCGACTTCGACGCTGAGATCTTCCGCCCCTATGCTCCTGATGTTGCTGCATTCCTGGAAGCGGGCCACAAGCCTGGTGAGACTGTCATCTGTACTGGCAAGATCAAGCACGTTGGCAGCACATATGTCGACCAGTTTAAGCACTTGGCTAGCCTGGTGGCCCCCCAGGATGTCAAGAATGTGAAGCTCACCCTTGCTGCTCCCAACTGGTACCACCTTCGTTACAAGAACGGCAAGGCTTTCCCCAAGGATGTGTACAGCACCGAGGACGAGTACCTGAGCGATATCGCCAAGGCCTACCAGGAGGAACTGCAGATCCTGTACGATGCTGGCTGCAGAAACGTCCAGTTCGATGACCCCAACCTTGCTTGTAAGAACCCTGGATATCGCATGTCTTTTGACTGAACAGGAGACATACTAACCCAGACATTAGACTTCTGCTCGGAGAAGATGCTGGACGGCTGGAAGGCCGATCCTCTGAACACCGCCACTGCCGACGAGACATTTGAAAAGTACATCAAGCAATACAACGAATTGCTGTCCAAGCGTCCTGCCGATCTCCACGTCGGTGTTCACATTTGTCGCGGTAACTTCGTCGGTAGCCGTCACTTCTCCGAGGGTGGCTATGACCGCATCGCTACCAAGCTGTTCAAGGAGCTCAACGTCGACACCTACTACCTCGAGTACGACACCCCTCGTGCCGGTGGTTTCGAGCCTCTGAAGGAGTTGCCTCGCCACAAGAACGTCATTTTGGGCGTTGTGACCAGCAAGTTCGCCAAGCTCGAGGACAAGGAGGAGATGAAGAAGCGCGTCTACGACGCTGCCAAGTTCATTGCTGAGGGCAACGACATCAGCGTTGAAGAGGCCCTCAAACAAGTTGGCGTCAGCCCCCAGTGTGGTTTTGCCAGTCACCGTGAGGGTAACGCGATCGACTGGGATGGCATGATCAACAAGCTGAAGCTTGTCCGTGAAATTGCTAATGATATCTGGCCCGGTGAGCTGTGAAGCACGACCATTGAATGATATTTGAGGGTTGGAGATGCTACGATGCTTGCTCTTCATCGGTCTATTTTCAACAATGAGACGGATGGGGAGGCATGGTTGAGGATGAAGGGGCTCAAACGATGTGATGATTAACGAGAATACCACTTAACGTATGTTCTTGTATATAAAATATTATATATAACTTGGAAGCATCATCATGCGCTTCAGAATTCCAATGGTGCCGGTGAAAGAATGATTCATTTTAACCACCTCGAGGAAAGGTGGCCACTTAAGTACCTTGGGGCTTGAATACTCTACCCGCACGATATGCGGACTGCATGCAGCCAAGCCTGACGGTTCTAGTTATGTTACATTCAAGAGTATTAGGCAAAAGAGTAGATATAGCATAGAGAACCCAGTACTATAGTTCACAGTGCGATGATTTTTATCGTGTGATATTTAGCTATACTGGGTAGGCCAAGCTCGGACATATCCAAGTATGGAAAACAAACAAATACATGCGGCCAGGTAGGGTACATTATGCAGCAATAAACTACGGCTTACTGCATGCCTATCTCAAGCATGCGAAAGCGAAGTATTCAGAAAACTATCCATTTCTACTCCATATCTGCCTAGGCCAAAAAAATCAAGCGATCATTCATCGACCAGACGAAACGCACCATTGCCTTCTACCCTCTCCCTCAACAACCTCCCCCATCGACCATCTTACTCGGCGGGCCCCAAGATATTCGACTCCTTGATAGCCGACCTCCGATGCGTATGAGAATTCTCAATCTATCACCCCGAGTCAGCTTCGCAGCTACATCATGACCAAATGAAAGAGTAAACTCACCTCGTACCGTGGCTCCTCCTCCGAAGCCGCTACATTGCGACCCGTCAATTGAGTGGGCTCGGTGGTGACCTCGCGGATGACGCCGACGGACTCGGAGGTTTTGGACTCGGGGCCTGCGCGAATAAGCTTAGCTATCTTCCTGGGTTGATTATCTCGTGAACTGAAGGGATACCTCCGACAGGCTTGTAGCGGACGCTTTCTCCTTTTCTGTACTCGGGCATTGTGAGCGGTGGAGTTGAGGTAACTTAGGTTTGCTTGTGCTTGACTTGTACCGATAATCAATGAACTGAATCGATATAATCCAAATCTCCAAAACAAGACAAAATTTTCGAGCTGGCGGAGCTCGAGCCCAGCGTCCTATTTATGTGTCGTGTGGCCATGTTGTTTTCCGTGGATGTTTGGCCCGTTGCGCCACCTTTCTGCGTCAGGTTGACATGTTTCTGATTCTAGTGATGGTGGCCATGCACTCCTGAGGGAATTGATTCTGTTGCCCAAGTCGACATATCTGATGTCTGTAGAAACTGTATGAGGAAGAGATGTTGATGTGTTCCTTGCATCCTACGGGATCGACGTAACTTTGACGATGCATTGAATCATCCGGAAACGATCAACGCGAACTTACCGACTGGCTGGAAGCTCTACTCCGTGTCCCTCGTTGAGCCCTGTTGGCGGATCGATCTTCCGTCATGCTGAACGTGCCAGCAGGCAGCGGAATGACTGAGTGCTGACAGGTCCGATACCCAAACTGAAAGATCGTCATCACGTGAAGGTTAGAGAATACTCAGAGTAGACCAAGTGGAAAATGCGAAAGAAAAGAAAAAAAAAAAGGTCATATGCTAAGCTTCCATTGTATGTGCTGGTCCAATCTGCCTTCTATTTAGGTACTTTCTACACAGAAAGTCACAGAATCAGCTGTATCGACAAGAATGGCACTTCAAACAGTCAGAGTTGCAAAGGACGACAAGAGAATTATTAGTAAAAGGGTATGTATGAATGACCCGCACAGAAACAGAGGGGGATATCATGGAGAAAAAGGAAATAGAAGAGAGATAATAGAAGACGGGAAAAAGAAACCATGCGGCACATAAGAGCGGAAGTCGGAATGCTGCGTCGTCTGTCATCAAAACGGACATGAAACGAAGAAATCTTGAAACCAATTGACGAGGGGACATGTTGTACACGAGGCCGCGTGAAGATATCTCTGATTACGGCACGATCTGGTGGACGTGGGGCATGGAATCACTTCTGAGGCTGAGTCTTGACGTTGTTTGAAAGCCAGGCCTGCAGAAACATCAGCTATTTGCCGGATCGAGCAGTTCGACGTGAGGAAGTAGCCACTTACAAGTCCCTCAAAAATTCCAGTGCCCTCCGTAGCAACACTGGGCGCCACATACCACAGCTTGTCCTTCAACTTGGTGAGCTGCAATGCGTTGGTGACCTCCTCCGGGCTCAAATCTGCAAGATGGAGATCGAGTCAGCGTCAACCCTGGACAGTCAGGTTTGAGGAAAACCTACGGCCTGGAACATCCTGCTTGTTCGCAAACACAAGCAACAGAGCGTCCTTCATTTCGCGATCGTTGATGATCTTATGAAGCTCCGAGCGAGCTTCTTCCATACGGGCCGTGTCGCTCGAGTCGACGACAAAGATCAGACCTTGGGTGCCTGCGATTCACAGATGTCAGTAAGTGCCCTAATTGATGAGATGATGCACCAAACGTGACGGTTCATACCAGAGTAGTAGTGTCTCCACAACGGCCGGATCTTGTCCTGTCCACCGACATCCCAGACGTTGAATTTGACGTTCTTGTAGGTGACGCTCTCAACGTTGAAACCGACAGTAGGAATAGTGGTGACATCCTGATTCGTGAGCTTTAGCTTGTAGAGGATAGCTGAGGTAGATACGCCGGTTAGTTTCCAAGCAATTCCTTTTCGTCTTCCTAGTTACCGAAACTCACTGGTCTTTCCGGCAGCATCCAAACCCAGCATCAGAATCCGCATTTCCTTCGTGCCAAATATCTTCCCCAGCATCTTCGAAACTTGTCCACCCATGTTGACTATTGTAATGCGACTGTCGGAGTCGCGACCAACGGAACAGTTGAGAACTGGATGCCTAGACAGTGCGTCTCAATGCCGAACTTGACTCGGTCACAATCCGACGCGACGCCCTGCACTTTCAATTGAGGGGAGGAGGACAGGGGAGAGAGTGAGAAACCGTTGGGACGCTGAGCGACTTCGAGTCAATTGGGCCCTCCTGTCAAAACAATGCAAAAAGTTAATATGAGATCTGCAGAAGAGACGCAAGGAAAACAAGACAGACACATGGGTATTGGGGAATGGAGAATTTCGCACCTTGCTTGTGAGTACGGAGGGGGGTGGGAGGAAAAGGCAGGTCACCTGTGCTCTCTCAAACGTGGCAGCAGAAAAAGAGGAGTGTGAGAATAAGATTGTAAGAGTCAAATTAACTTTTGGAGACAAAAACCCGACGATCCACAGCAGGACCGCGCTGCTTTGCTAGAGGGGAGGTTGATAAGTTGCTAGATATCTAGTTAACTCCTAACAATACTAATCTCCTTTCTCCTGGACCCAATTTCCCCTGTCGACCCTGTATCCAGTATCCATAGATGAGACTGAGAGGGGCCGTAAAAGGGGCTGGCCATGACTAAGCAGCTCTCCCCCACGACTGTCAGCTTCTTCCCTTCCCCTTACCGTAGACTAGACTCCCCTACCCCAGAACATTGATAAGAGCTGAGAGGATACTTTAAGATGGCCAGTTCATCAGCCAGGGATCTCTTCCGTCGTCGGAATCTTCCACGGATCAGACAATCTGCGAATACTGGAATTGTCTGATTCCCGCCCTTATTACTGCATGGACTGATTTCGCCTCATGCGGAGGGAAGTGATGCGCCGTGGTCCCGAGGGGGCATCCAACCCAGCTCCAGATGACAGGGATCTCTCAAGATAGGGATATACCGCGTGGATCAAGTCTCTCCAATGATTGCTCTGACCTGAATGATTGATTATCGTTGATATCCCGAGCCTACATGGAAGCTGCGGATAAAAACAGCATCCGGTTGTTCCTAACTGTAAAGGTACGTCATGGTCGGAACTGGTGAGGTCACCATCTGGACTGTTACACTGATGGATATAATATCGGTCGTATCCGTAGAGAGGTAGATGCCACATCATCAGTCCATTTCCTAAGATTTCTTTACTTCAACGAGTCAAGGCCATTTTATACTCCGTCTGTGCTTTGGCAGTAATCAACAATCTCCCGTTATCTGCACATACATCATGGCTAGCGACACGCTCTGCTTCCGACGGCGGTCATCCGTGCACCAGCAGCGTCGTCTTTCGGTCGATTTCAAGAAGAATTCATGGGCTGCGCCTCCTTCTGGGGTATGAATGGTTCAAATCCGTCGCGTGTCGGTTCTGGAGTTCTAACTTCAATTAGACCTTGTATGCCGGCCTCTCGGCAATATTTACCGATGATGGACATGCTACCATCGCCCTGGCCATTCGTGACGCAACGTACCTCCTTGAATTCATTCAAGAGAAAGTCCCTCGAAGAGAGAACAAGCCTCTTTCTCAAGCGATCAGCGACTTCATCGTGCACCAATTGCAGAATTTCAGTGAGAAACACCTCGAAAAGTTCATCGGGTTGGCAATGCCACAGCATATCGCAGAGACATGCCCAGGTCTCTGTTCGCGCCTATGGGCTGAGCTGGACGTCATCCCACTGGTGCTTCCGGAGGAGATGCGCAAAGAGAATGAGCCGTCCAAGCAGCCTCTTCCCACCTATCCAGGCTGGGAGACCAGATCGCTCGATGAACAAGCAGAATCTATGGGACGGAAATGTGTCAGGTGAGGGAAACCCTGCCTATGTGCTGTTGCATGTCAGCATGCTTACTTCACGCACAGATTGTTTGGCCCCGAAAACATCCCATTGCTGCAAGTCGGGTTTCTAGGTTGTGTCGAGGTCGATACGGCCTTTCACGTACGCTTGACCGATCTGGATGATTTCAAGAAGACGGTCAGACCTCGCACATGGGGTGCTGTCGAGCATTACGCGTCCGACCTTAAGAATAGGAAAGTCAAGATAGCCTTCTTCAGTGCCACCCCTCAAGGTGGAGGGGTAGCCCTCATGAGGCATGCTATTGTGAGATTTTCCTATTCATTGGGAACTGATATTAAATGGTGAGTGATTGTCCACTTTGGAGCCACCGTACCGACCACAGAAATAGCTGAAATCGTGTCCTAAGGTACGTACCAAAACCACGACCAGGTGTCTTCCGTATCACCAAGACGAACCACAACATTCTGCAAGGTGTCTCAAACCCCGGGGAGCGGTGCACAAAGGAAGACTGGGCAAAGGTCACGGACTGGATCGAGGAGAACGCCAGGAGGTACTGGTTGGTCCCCGGAGGACCGTTGCGGCATCCATCAGAAGGAGGTGCAGATGTAATTATCATGGACGACCCTCAGATGCCAGCATTGATTCCCATCGCGAAGAAAATGGCGCCGGATAGACCTGTCATCTTCCGCAGCCACATTCAGATCCGCAGCGACCTTATTGCGAAACCAGACACTCCTCAGGCGGAAGCATGGGGCTGGATGTGGGAGCAGATCAAACAGGCCGACCTGTTCATTTCTCATCCGGTGAGCTCATTCGTGCCGAAGAACGTACCAAAAGAGATTGTGGGTTATATGGGAGCGTCCACGGATTGGTAAGTTCTCAGGCCTTTAGTCAGTAGGAGCAAATGACTAACACGTCATTGTAGGCTCGACGGCCTGAATAAAAACATGCGGGACTGGGACATGGCGTATTATGGTCGCGTTTTCAATGCCGCCTGCAGAAACTCTGGCATGCCCGTGATAAGTGTCCCTGAAGGTGAGACCGCGATTCTTTGTTCTTCCCCATCGTGGCAAGTTGAAAGCTTTTCCATTAACAATGACAGACGAGTACATCGTCCAGATTGCACGCTTTGACCCCTCCAAGGGCATCTTTGATGTCGTGGAATCCTACGAGAAATTCTACAATCGTCTAACCGCCACATTTCCTGACAAGCAGCCTCCGAAGTTGTTGATTTGCGGACACGGCTCGATCGATGACCCTGATGGTTCGCTCATTTACGATGCCGTTGTGTCTCATATTGAGCATAATATCCCCTACTTGATCGACCAGATCTGTGTTATGCGACTGGGACCGTCGGACCAGGTGCTG